TGCATAATAATTATTACATTGAGGGGGTCACTACAATAATGTCAATTGGTCGGAATCGCTGAGAAGATGCTGGGTCGATTCGAACCTAACTTCGGACGTTGTCTGCCCACGGCATCGCAGCCCAACATAAAATTACACAGAACAATGGGTCCCACATATCTATGGATAAAGTTCCAATATCATGATTAAATTCTCGCCCTCCTAGGCTTTTTCAAGTCACTTTGCTTCGCCTGTGAGGGTATCAGGCACTTCAAATGTCGTGAATCGATTTTGTGCCATACTACATGTCGATCGATGTTGGGGCGTTTGAATGTGGCCAAACAGCTTGCACGTCAGAATTCACTGACTGGCGATGGTGAACGCAACCTCGACTGTCTTGTTAAAATGCTCAAATCGGGGGACGCGGAAAGTGCGACAGATATTCGGACGGATGGCCAGATTGGGCAAGAAGCGCTCTTCTGCGCTGTCCTCCAGAGGTAAGTGCTGCCTCCTTTGATCGTTGTAGCACTACTAAATGCACGTTAGTATGGAATTGGATTTTGGTTAAGATAATTTTTTGTGTTGAATTGTTCCCAGGCTCCCGTCTCTCAGTTCTAGCACTATAGTAAAATCAAGGCTGGATGGAAAATGGTGCAGTAGACACTTGTAATGTTTAATTTGGTGACCTAGAATGAAATAATGGCAAGTGTCCCAGACACTACGGACGCTCTCGTACACAAACAGTGTTTCTGCCTACTCGATTAGTCACATGATCCCGGTCATATACACCAGGTTGCCTGTTGCGACTGCGTTGATTCCACAGAGTCGTTAGGACGACATGCATTTATGCCAATGTCCAAATATTGACAGTCACATTTCCCGTTAGTTGTAGCCTTGGATATTACTTCTTACCAATTGAGATTTAGATAGGCAAATATGAGACGACTGGATTAGCATAATGACACGTCGTCTACATTACCAGTCATCAGGCCCTTCCTTCCCCTCTTTCCTGCAGGCTGCCCACAGTCGGACACGTCGGGGCCGGGGCTCAGTGGCTGGTTGTCGGTGCAGGAAGAGTCGCCCGATCACTCAGTATGTCAGTCCTCTGGACGCATGATGATGATGATGACATTGACCAGTTAGGGCATTTTACATTCCATTGGTCGCTTAATGCTCCCAATAAACATCTTCCCTCTTGCATCGCCCAGGGTGTCCCACGCCTACTGCTGGAGATGGTCGAGGCCCTGCGCAGACGTGGCCTATGCATGGAAGGCATCTACCGAGTGCCAGGCCGAGCCTCAAAGATTCAGGCAATCATGCAGTTGGCCAATTCCGTAAGTCACCTACCTCATTAATCCTATGCATGCAGTGAAACTTCATGAATATTAAGCTGACTTACCCTTACATAGGTGTGTGTGTGCTAATATGCAGAATCGCACTTCTTTGCAATTTTAGAATGTGAGCGAGTTGTGTGACCGGCTGGTGTGGGACGAGGACGCTTTTGATGGTCGGGCAATTTCGTCAGCCATCAAGCTCTACTTGGCCACTATGCCTGTTAGTCTTTTGAATCCCCATATGTTTGCCTCGTTTGTGGCGTCGACGGCGATGGGGAGAGCATCGAAGAGAGGTGGCCGTTCTCTGCGGACACCAGTGGGCCTGGCTAGCGCACTATGCCAATTGCGAACAGCCCTCGTGAAGACCTTTGGCTGTCCCGGCAATTCGAAATCTGAGGACCGCGAGAGGGGGTGGCGCCTCGCAACGCTGGACTATGTCATGCGCCATTTTAGGGAGGTTGTGGCCCTTCAGGCCACTAACCGCATGTCCCCTCGCGCGCTGGCATTGTGCCTCGCGCCCTCCCTCTTCGGGTCCACGGAGAATGCGGAGACCAACAGTCAGGTATGCATTACACAACAGCTGCTCCCTTTCATGTCTTTACATGCAATCCCCTCTTCCTTTAGTGGCCATTACCTCGTGCTTATGCTATTTCATGTCTGCCACCACCACCATCAATAGGTGCTGGAGCTGCTACTTGAGCACTGGCCCTGGCTGTCAGAGTGTCTGCACCGGGGCAACCAGCTGGTGTCCGCAGACCGTCTAGGCGAACCGGTAGCCGACGCCTGTCTCTATGCTTGCCGGTAAGTCTCATAATGCTCACATCCCTCCTTGCCATTATTTCGACTTCATATATCCTGACATTAACGCTTAGTAGTAGACTTGCGTAGTTTCTTACTGTGCACTCATTTGCAGATCAATTTATGCAATCATTTTAGCCATGCTATAGTTCTTGAGGTTTTTGTCGCTGTCGACCTAGCACAGCTATTTTTCATTCCAGTCCAAAGCATAGGCTACACCAATTAAACTAGAGTGCTGTTCAATCTAAGGGGTACTCAACCATGGCTCACTGAACACTCTCTCTCCCTTCTAGATACCAGCGTCATTGCTTCCTGCAGTCCCTGTGCCTACCGCCGACCCTCCCACCGTCGCCGCCGCCGCCGCCGCCGCCGTCTTCAGTCGACGGAGTTCGTACTGCCGCGTGTACATAGCTTTCGTTGGAATTATCCTTCCCTCCGCTCTTCCCACCCGCAATTATTTGCACTATTATAAGCATGCTTCTCCCTCGTCCCCATTTTTGAACTTTTGGAGAGTATTATTCCTTGTTCTGATGTTTATTCCGCTTCACACAAAAGACGCTGTTTCGCTGACGTGCACATTCCCTCTTTTTCGCCTGCGCTAACCCGCAGTGTTATATTACATTTGTTCCGCCCCCTCACCACAGCCGTAATTCACTTCCTTCTTATTGGAATGATTATCCTTGGTCCCGACTTTTGCCATTTTCCTTGTTCTCATGTCCATTCCATTTTACTTAATAAACCCTGTTCTTCTAACCTGCACTCTCTCTCTTGACCTCTCATCTGGATTATTTGGGCAAGGTCTGATGTTGGTGCTGTGTCTGGTCATAGTCTGAAGGCAGGAAGTTGATATCAACAGGTGCATTTACATAGGGGGAATTTTGCTTAGTGAGGCTTACGTGACACAGGTAGAGACGAGTGTGCGAGTCGATGGTTAGTGCTGTCACGACGACTGACTACAGTAGCTTCTCAAATAAATAACTGCTTCCAGTAGTTCGATTCTGGCAAGGATGACTCCAGTGGTTTACATTCACCGCAGTCTGTTATTATTACTATCATCATTGCAGCGTCGATTTGCCTATAAATCTCAAATTTGGAAATCCTCTGTTGATTGGAAGCGACTACTTCAGGTGATGTGATTGAAGATCACGGCCTCCAGTAGTTCAGCCACGTATTCCACTGTGAGCAACAGGAATAACCACATGCGGAGAAGGGAAATATTATAGAAGTGTATTCAAAGATATCCTGACGGGGATGATGGATGTGGTTCTTGTACATGCACTCGATACGACTGCCATCATGCCTGATCTAGCTGGCCTCGATGATGCCCCGAACTGTACTTCTCCAAGCGTGATGATCCGAGGTAGCAGGACTGGACAGTTCAACCAGTTCTCTTCGCCAAAGACGGAGACCGAATAAATAAGGTCCAAGTACCACCTCCATGTCTTGACGGAGTGTGTCGAGCTAGATTTTTGAGCTGACCCCCTCTTTGACGCCTACAATGTGGCAACGGTGCCAGGCTTTACGCCATAAGAGTGGCTGATTTTGACAATAGGTGAGTATTTTTTTGTCCAAACCTGTTTGGTTAGTTGAAGATAACGTTTTTAGACAGGCATGAGCACATCAACTGGAGAAAAAATGGAACACTGCAAAAAGAAGTGAGGTGCCTAAAGCGAAGGCCATTTGTCTTGTCTGATGCAAAAGCAATGAATAATTTTGCAACTGAATTTCATGCAAAGACAACTCGTTCTAATTCTTGACTCAATGAAATATTGCTAATGATTTGGATATAGATTAAGGACTGGATTACTTCTGAAAGTCTGTGAAGGAAGGAACACTTCCCTCATTTCCATGAACATTCTCATGCAGAATTTGAATAGTGCCTCAAATAGTCGTTAAATTTCCTTCAGGATGGAGTCCTTAAAGTTCCTTGTTCGGGAAGCGGTTGCACCGCATATGCTTCAGCAATATGCGGCAGGAATAGTTCCCAAGCTTTTTTTAGCTAAGGCCGTCTAATCCAAATCACTGACAATGGTAATTTCGTCTACGTGGACTCATATTGCACAACGAAACAGCGGTCCACCGTCGTGGAGCTTCCGTTTCAGTCTGCTTCAATGGGCCTTAATCACACTAGTGTGTTTTCATGTGGTCGAATCCTTAAAGTACTTGGTATGGTAGATTGTAAAGTTCTTTATGCCGATGATTGTGGCATCCACGTAGGCATTTTGCCACATTAGGCAACAGTCCCCTTTTCGACAGTATTCTACAGTATTTGGCAGTATTAAAAAATGACTACTTAAGTAGCATGCATTTTTCTCCTTGGTTTTTGATGTTATTTCAAATTCAAATACATCTTACAGAAACCATAAAAAATGGGCTTTCTCTCAGTTGTTTGACAAAAAATAACGTCAACAACATATTTTATAAATGATGAAGGAATATAATTATGTTTCTAAAAGGTTTTCTAATTACCGAATAATTTGGAGCATGGTCACTCGTTGCACTAGCGCTTGGTGATTTCAGTCTGCAAGGTGCATGCGTTCCGCGTAAAGAAATTCACATATTCTTCCATGCTTTTAAAATGATACCATATAGGGTCCATAAGATTTTGCAATGGATGCGGACTATCTCGTACGTTTCATGAGAAGTAGTGGTAAACGGACAGATACGATGCTATGTCAATGGACATTGCGCGGTCTTGAAAAATCTCACAATTAGAAACTATTTTAAAACCTAATTATACTCCTTCCTCATTTATAAAATATATGGATGACGTTAGTTTCTATCAAACGACTGAAGGAAAGTATATTTTGCTTATGGTTTCTGTAAGATGTATTTGAATTTGCCAGAACATCAAAAAACCAAGGAGGAAACTGCATGCTAGTTTAGTACTCATGTGCTAAAGAGTACGGTTTTGTGCAGGAGTTTGAAAAACAGTGTATTCAAAAGCCGACATCCTGCCGAGTCCGAAATATTATAGGATTATGCCGCAAGATAATCAATATTAGAACCGCGCCTAAGTAATCCTTCTTAATCGAAATCGCATTTCAGAAGTTCAGCCAACATTTCATGAGATCGGTCACGCCCTGCACGTGTTGTGCAACACTGCTTCTTCGCCCTCCGACGTTGACAATCATGTGTCAGGCAAACAGAGAAACTAGAATACCATCTGAGCGGGATTGCTGCATTAAGAAGGAAGGGTTACAGCCTGTCTCTTCGTCTGGATCAGAGGACCGACTTATCCCATCACTAGCCATTTTTCCAAGCCACGATATTTAGCTTGATTCAAAGGTTTCAATGCGTGTAGCCTTCTTTAAAGTCTGGAATATGCAGTGAGTGTTGTGCTGTCGGGATCTGCACATTGGAAGTCACTCTCCGTTCATTCTTTCAGAAATCAGACAACACTCCGGACCGATCAGTCATTTGATGTCGATATGGGACAGGGATGCTGGACAGTGCTGAAACAGTCCGTCTTCGTGTGCCACACACGACCCATACCAACACCATATCACACCAAGTTTTCACACAAAGGAACTGGGCTACTGGGACTTCACAGACACGGGATTCGGCATTGAGGAATTTCTGTTTGAACATGTACGAGCCATTATATGGATGCCTGAAGCTCAGAGGGCTGTCACATCAGCTCAGTTCAACATGACTTCTCTGAAGGGTGCTCCTGTCTCACAAACCTGCTTACGTCGCTCGGACATTGGTCAAAGGAGATGGCCAAAGGATATCCAGTGAATGTCATATACTTTGATTTCAGCAAGGTGCTTGGATGCTTTCAAAGTTTTTAGGCGTAGGAACAAGAAGAAATTTCCTCAGTTGGATTCCACGGTTCTCAAACGGTCGTAGATAAAAGTAAATCTTCGTGTCTTCTGTTGAGAATGGGCGCCTCCTAAAAGTGGAGTGCCACATGGGTCAGTTCTTGGGCCGCTCCTTTTCTTCATCTGCCTAAATCATCTAGGACGGGAAGGAAAATCGGACATAGCGTTCCTTGCAGGTGATTTTAAAATGCAGATGATGATAAAAGATGAAAAATACGCAAAGATGCTATGTGGATGTGCCTCACTCAGAGTTTGATATTTAAACTAGGGATTAAGGTGTGCAGACAATCTACATCCAAACTACGGATAATCACATTGGACTGCACTCTTTCCTATTGTCCGAAATTATTCTCTGTGTGGATGTCTCTCTCTCTCATTTGGTTCCAAGTTCAAGAGTTCGGCATTCTGAAACGCTTTCTCAAATGTGTGCGTTTCTCTGTTCCCTTTTCCTTCGAATTCAATCTGACAACTAGTCGTACTACTGGATTTATACTGATGACATGCGTTCATCAGATGTTATGTCTGCTGATGGCGTTGTATTCGCTCACCCTGCCTTTAGACCTATACTCAGTCGTCGGCAGAGAGCAAATGTCTTCCAGTTCATGGGATGCTACGTTGAGACTCCATTTATCCTTCCTCCAGCAAAGTAAATCCTATCAACCCAACTGGCATTGCCCGTCGAATTTCACTGTTTACCACTCTATACTAATCAATTCATTACCCTGCGGCCGGGCACAGGATAATTTGCGGCAATAATCTTCGCAAACTACACACACATGATAGATCATTTCCATCGTTCACTAATACTTCAGTCAACTGAGTTGTCTTTTGAATAAATAAGGAGGATGTTATGCTTCACATCTTTGCATTGAAACTTAATGTATACGACAGCACAGGAAGAGAGTATTTTGGGGCGGTGAATATGTTTGCTGTTCTAGTAATCGGAGAAACTGCTCACCGCAATTACTATAAACTGGTTAAGATGCCTAATAATTATTACATTGAGAGGGTTACTAAAGTAGTGTCCATTGGTCGCATTTGCAGTGAAGATGTTGGGTCAATTCGAACCTATCTTTGGAAGTTGCATACCTACGGCTTCGCAGCCCAACATAAAATTACACAGAAAAATGGGTCCCAAATATCATGATTAAAATCTCGCCCTCCTAGGCTTTTTCAAGTCACTTTGCTTCGCCTGTGAAGGTATCAGGCAATTTAAATGTCCTGAATCGATTTTGTGCCAGACTACATGTCGATCGATGTTGGGGCGTTTGAAAGTGGCCAAACAGCTTGCACGTCAGAATTCACTGACTGGCGATGGCATACGCAACCTCGACTGCCTTGTTGAAATGCTCAAATCGGGGGACGCGGAAAGTGCGACAGATATTCGGATGGATGGCCAGATTGGGCAAGAAGCGCTCGTCTGCGCTCTCCTCCAGTGGTAAGTGCTGCCTCCTTCCCTCGTTGTAGCACTACTAAATGCACGTTAGTCTGGAATAGGATTTTGGTTAAGATAATGCCTTGTGTTGGATTGTTCCCAGGCTCCCGTCTCTCATTCCTAGCACTATAGTAGAATCGAGGCTAGATAGAAATGGTCCAGTAGTGTCTGCTTGCTTGTCTAACTTAAAATCATACCACGTGTCCCAGACAATGTCGACGCTGTCGTACTCCAGCAACATTTCTGCCTACTCGATTAGCCACATGATCCCGGCTATATTCACCAGGATGACTGTTGCGACAGCGTTGATTCCACAGAGTCGTTAGGACGACATGCATTTATGCCAGTGTGCAAATATTGTCAGTCACTTTTCACGTTAGTTGTAGCCTTGGATATTACTTCTTACCAATTGAGATTTAGATAGGCAAATGTGAGGCGACCGGATTTGCGTAATGACACGCCGTCTATATTACCAGTCATCAGGCCCTCCCTTCCCCTCCTTCCTGCAGGCTGCCCACAGTCGGACACGTCGGGACCGCGGTTCGGTGGCTGGTTGTCGGTGCAGGCAGAGTGACCCGATCACTCAGTAAGTCAGTCCTCTGGACGCATGATGATGATGATGACATTGACCAGTTAGGGCATTTTACATTCCATTGGTCGCTTAATGCTCCCAATAAACATCTCCCCTCTTTCATCGTCCAGGGCGTCCCACGGCTGCTGGTGGAGATGGTTGAGGCCCTGCGCAGACGTGGCCTACACATGGAGGGCATCTACCGAGTGCCAGGCCGAGCCTCAAAGATTCAGGCAATCATGCAGTTGGCCAATTCCGTAAGTCTCCTAACTCAGTAATCCTATGCATGCAGTGAAACTTCATGAATATTAAGCTGACTTACCCTTACATAGGTGTGTGCTAATATGCAGATTCGCACTTCTTTGCAATTTTAGAATGTGAGCGAGTTGTGTGACCGGCTGGTGTGGGACGAGGACGCTTTTGATGGTCGGGCAATTTCGTCAGCCATCAAGCTCTACTTGGCCACTATGCCTGTCAGTCTTTTGAATCCCCATATGTTCGCCCCATTTGTGGCGTCGAGGGCGATGGGGAGAGCATCGGAGAGAGGTGGCCGTTCTCTGCGGACACCAGCGGGCTTGGCTAGCGCACTATGCCAATTGCGAACAGCCCTCGTGAAGACCTTTGGCTGCCCCGGCAATTCGAAATCTGAGGACCGCGAGAGGGGGTGGCGCCTCGCAACGCTGGACTATGTCATGCGCCATTTCAGGGAGGTTGTGGCCCTTCAGGCCACTAACCGCATGTCGCCTCGCGCGCTGGCATTGTGCCTCGCGCCCTCCCTCTTCGGGTCCACGGAGAATGCGGAGACCAACAGTCAGGTATGCATTACAAAACAGCTGCTCCCTTTCATGTCTTTCCATGTAATCGCCGCATTCTTTAGCGGTCATTACCTGCTGCTTATGCTATTTCCTGTCTGCCACCACCACCATCAATAGGTGCTGGAGCTGCTAATTGAGCACTGGCCCTGGCTGTCAGAGTGTCTGCACCGGGGCAGCCAGCTGGTGTCCGCAGACCGTCTAGGCGAACCGGTATCCGACGCCTGTCTCTATGCTTGTCGGTAAGTCTCATAATGCCCACATCCCTCCTTGCCATTATTTCGACTTCATATATCCTGACATTCACGCTTAGTAGTAGACTTGCTTAGTTTCTTACTGTGCACTCATTTGCATATAAATTCATGCGAACATTTTAGCCATGCTATAGTTCTTGAGGATTTTGTCGCTGGCGACCTAGTTGTCACACTGAGGACTGCAGTACGGCCTCCATGACAGAACAGCTATTTTTCATTCCAGTCCAAAGCATAGGCTACACCAATTAAACTAGAGTGCTGTTCAATCTAAGGGGTACTCAACCATGGCTCACTGAACACACTCTCTCCCTTCTAGATACCAGCGTCATTGCTTCCTGCAGTCCCTCTGCCTACCAGCGACCCTCCCACCGTCGCCGCCGCCGCCGCCGTCTTCAGTCGACGGAGTTCGTACTGCCTCGTGTACATAGCTTCGTTCGAATTATCCACCCATCAGTATTTGCCCCATTATAAGTGTGATTCTACATCCTCCCCATTTTTGAAATTTGGAGAGAATTATTCCTTGTTCTCATGTTTATTCCGTTTCACACAAAAGACGCTGTTTCGCTGACGTGCACTTTCCCTCTTTCTCTTCCGCGCTAACCCGCAGTGTTATATTACATTTGTTCCGCCCCCTCACCACAGCCGTAATTCACTTCCTTCTTATTGGAATGATTATCCTTGGTCCCGACTTTTGTCATTTTCCTTGTTCTCATGTCCATTCCATTTTACATAATAAACCCTGTTCTTCTAACCTGCGCTCTCTCTCTCACTACCTCTCATCTAGATTATTTGGGCAAGGTCTGATGTTGGTGCTGGGTCTGGTCATAGTCTGAAGGCAGGAAGCCGATATCAACAGGTGTCTTTACATAGGGGGAATTTTGCTTAGTGAGGCTTACGTGACACAGATAGAGACGAGTGTGCGAGTCGATGGTTAGTACTGTCACAACGACTGACTACAGTAACATCTCAAATACATAAGTGCTTCCAGTAGTTCAATTCTGGCAAGAATGACTCCAGTGGTTTACAATCACCGCAGTCTGTTATTATTACTATCATCATTGCAATGTCGATTTGCCGATATGTCTTAAATTTGGAAGTCCTCTGTTGATTGGAAGCGACGACTTCAGGTGATGGAATTGAAGATCACGGTCTCCATTAGTTTAGCCATGTATTCCACCGTGATCAACAGGAATAACCACATACGGAGAAGGGAAATTTTATAGAAGTGTATCCGAAGATATCCTGACGGGGATGATGGATGTGGTACTTGTACATGCACTCGATACGACTGCGATCATGCCTGATCTAGCTGACCTCGATGATGTCCCGAACTGTACTTCTCCAAGCGTGATGATCCGAGGTAGCAGGTCTGGACAGTTCAACCAGTTCTCTTCGCCAAAGACGGAGACCGAATAAATAAGGTCCAAGTACCACCTCCATGCCTTGACGGAGTGTGTCGAGCTAGATTTTTGAGCTGACCCCCTCTTTGACGCCTCCAATGTGGCAACGGTGCCAGGCTTTACGCGATAAGAGTGGCTGACTTTGACAATAGGTGAGTATTTTTTTCGTCCAAACCTGTTTGGTTAGTTGAAGATAACGTTTTTAGACAGGCATGAGCACATCAACTGGAGAAAAAAGGGAACACTGCAAAAAGAAATGAGGTGCCTAAAGCGAATGCCATTTGTCTTGTCTGATGCAAAAGCAATGAATAATTTTGGAACTGAATTTAATGCATAGACAACTCGTTCTAATTCTTGACTCAATGAAATATTGGCAATGACTTGGATATAGATTAAGGAATGGATTACTTCTGAAAGTTTGTGAAGGAAGGAACACTTCCCTCATTTCCATGAAGATTCTCATGCAGAAATTCAATAGTGCCTCAAATAGTCGTTAAATTTCCTTCCGGATGCAGTCCTTAAAGTTCCTTGTTCGGGAAGCGGTTGCACCGCATATGCTTCAGCAATATGTGGCAGGAATAGTTCCCAAGCTTTTTTTAGCTAAGGCCGTCTAATCCAAATCACTGACAATGGTAATTTCGTCTACGTGGACTCATATTGCACAACAAAACAGCGGTCCCCCGTCGTGGAGCCTCCGTTTCAGTCTGATTCAATGGGCCTTAATCACACTAGTGTGTTTTCATGTGGTCGGATCCTTAAAGTACTTGGTATGGTAGATTGTGAAGTTCTTAATGCCGATGATTGTGGCATCCACGTTGGCATTTTGCCACATTAGGCAACAGACCCTTTTACGGCAGTATTCTACAGTATTTGGCAGTTTTAAAAAATGACTACTTAAGTAGCGTGCATTTTTCACACTCATTTTCGACAGTCCAGCAAATTTAAATACGCGTTATAGAAACCATAAAATATAGGCTTTCTTTCAGTTGTTTGACAAAAAATAACATCATTCATATATTTTATAAATGAAGAAGGAGTATAATTAGGTTTCTAAAAGGTTTTCTAATTACCGAATAATTTGGAGCATGGTCACTCGTTGCACTAGCGCTTGGTGATTTCAGTCTGCAAGGTGCATGCGTTCCGCGTGAAGAAATTCACATATTCTTCCATGCTTTTAAAATGATACCATATAGGGTCCATAAGATTTTGCAATGGATGCGGACTATATCGTACGTTTCATGAGCAGTAGGGGTAAACGGACAGATACGATGCTATGTCAATGGACATTGCGCGGTCTTGAAAAATCTCACAATTAGAGACTATTTTAAAACCTAATTATACTTCTTCCTCATTAATAAAATATATGGATGACGTTAGTTTCTATCAAACGACTGAAGGAAAGTCTATTTTGCTTATGGTTTCTGTAAGATGTATTTGAATTTGCAAGAACATCAAAAACCAAGGTGGAAACTGCATGCTAGTTTAGTACTCATGTGCTACAGAGTACGGTTTTGTGCAGGAGTTTAAAAAACAGTGTATTCAAAAGCCGACATCCTGCCGAGTCCGAAATATTATAGGATTATGCCGCAAGATAATCAATATTAGAACCGCGCCTAAGTAATCCTTCTTAATCGAAATCGCATTTCAGAAGTTCAGCCAACATTTCATAAGATCGGTCACGCCCTGTACGTGTTGTGCAACACTGCTTCTTCGCCCTCCGACGTTGAAAATCATGTGTCAGGCAAACAGAGAAACTAGAATACCATCTGAGCGGGATTGCTGCATTAAGAAGGAGGGGTTACAGCCTGTCTCTTCGTCTGGATCGGAGGACCGACTTATCCCATCACTAGCCATTTTTCCAAGCCACGATATTTAGCTTGATTCAAAGGTTTCAAAGCCTTTAGACTTCTTTAAAGTCTGGAATATGCAGTGAGTGTTGTGCTGTCGGGATCTGCACATTGGAAGTCACTCTCCGTTCATTCTTCCAGAAATCAGACAACACTCCGGACCGATCAGTCATTTGATGTGGATATGGGGCAGGGATGCTGGACAGTGCTGAAACAGTCCGTCTTCGTGTGCTACACACGACCCATACCAACACCATATCACTCCAGGTCTTCACACAAATGAACTGGGCTACTGGGACTTCACAGACATGGGATTCGGCACTGAGGAATTTCTGTTTGAACATGCACGAGCCATTATATGGATGCCTGAAGCTCAGAGGGCTGTCACATCAGCTCAGTCCAACATGACTTCTCTGAAGGGTGCTCCTGTCTCACAAACCTGCTTACGTCGCTCGGACATTGGTCAAAGAAGATGGCCAAAGGACATCCAGTGAATGTCATATACTTTGATTTCAACAAGGTGCTTGGATGCTGTCAAAGTTTTTAGGCGTAGGAACAAGAAGAAATTTCCTCAATTGGATTCCACGGTTCTCAAACGGTCGTAGATAAAAGTAAATCTTCGTGTCTTCTGTGGAGAATGGGCGCCTCCTAAAAGTGGAGTGCCATATGGGTCAGTTCTTGGGCCGCTCCTCTTCTTCATCTAACTATATCATCTAGCACAAGAAGGAAAATCGAACATAGCGTCCCTTGCAGGTGATCTTAAACTGCAGATGTTGATAAAAGAGGAAAAATGCGCAAAGATGCTATGTGGATGTGCCTCACCCATAGTTTGATATTTAAACTAGGAACTAAGTTGTTCAGACAATCTACATCCAAATTACGGATAATCCCATTGGACTGCACTGTTTCCTATTGTCCAAATTTATTCTCTGTTTGGATGTCTCTTTTTCGCATTTGGTTCCAAATTCAAATGTTCGGCAGTTCATGGGATGCTACGTTGAGACTCCATTTATCCTTCCTCCAGCAAAGTAAATCCTATCAACCCAACTGGCATTGCCCGTCGAATTTCACCTTTTACCACTCTATACTCATCAGTTCATTGCCATGCGGCCGGGCACAGGATAATTTGCGGCAATAATCTTCGCAAACTACACACAAATGATATACCATTTCCATCGTTCACTAATACATCAGTCAACTGCGTTGTCTTTTGAATAAATAAGGAGGATGTTATGCTTCACATCTTTGCATTGAAACTTAATGTATCCGACAGCACAGGAGGAACGTATTTTGGGGCGCTGAATATGTTTGCTGTTCTAGTAATCGGAGAAACTGCTCACCGCAATTGCTATAAACTGGTTGCGATGCCTAATAATTATTACATTGAGGGGGTCACTACAATAATGTCAATTGGTCGGAATCGCTGAGAAGATGCTGGGTCGATTGGAACCTAACTTCGGACGTTGTCTGCCCACGGCATCGCAGCCCAACATAAAATTACACAGAACAATGGGTCACACATAACTATGGATAAAGTTCCAATATCATAATTAAATTCTCGGCCTCCTAGGCTTTTTCAAGTCACTTTGCTTCGCCTGTGAGAATATCAGGCACTTCAAATGTCGTGAATCGATTTTGTGCCAGACTACATGTCGATCGATGTTGGGGCGTTTGAATGTGGCCAAACAGCTTGCACGTCAGAATTCACTGACTGGCGATGGCATACGCAACCTCGACTGCCTTGTTGAAATGCTCAAATCGGGGGACGCGGAAAGTGCGGCAGATATTCGCACGGATGGCCAGATTGGGCAAGAAGCGCTCTTCTGCGCTGTCCTCCAGAGGTAAGTGCTGCCTCCTTTGATCGTTGTTGCACTACTAAATGCACGTAAGTATGGAATTGGATTTTGGTTAAGATAATGTCTTGTGTTGAATTGTTCCCAGGATCCTGTCTCTCGTATCTAGCACTATAGTAGAATCGAGGCTAGATAGAAATGGTCCAGTAGTGTCTGCTTGCTTGTCTAACTTAAAATCATACTGCGTGTCCCAGACAATGTCGACGCTGTCGTACTCCAGCAATATTTCTGCCTACTCGGATATCCACATGATCCCGGCAATATACACCAGGTTGCCTGTTGTGACTGCGTTGATTCCACAGAGTCGTTAGGACGACATGCATTTATGCCAATATGCAAATATTGACAGTCACTTTTCACGTTTGTTGTAGCCTTGGATATTACTTCCTACATATTCAGATTTAGATAGGCAAATGTGAGGCGACTGGAATTGCGTAATGACACGTAGTCTACATTACCAGTCATCAGGCCCTTCCTTCCCCTCCTTCCTGCAGGCTGCCCACAGTCGGACACGTCGGGACCGCGGTTCGGTGGCTGGTTGTCGGTGCAAGAAGAGTCGCCTGATCACTTAGTAAGTCCTCTGGACGCATGATGATGATGATGATGACATTGACCAGTTAGGGCATTTTGCATTCCATTGGTCGCTTAATGCTCCCAATAAACATCTCTCTTGCATCGCCCAGGGTGTCCCACGCCTACTGCTGGAGATGGTTGAGACCCTGCGCAGACGTGGCCTATGCATGGAAGGCATCTACCGAGTGCCAGGCCGAGCCTCAAAGATTCAGGCAATCATGCAGTTGGCCAATTCCGTAAGTCACCTACCTCATTAATCTTATGCATGCAGTGAAACATCATGAATATTAAGCTGACTTACCCTTACATAGGTGTGTGTGCTAATATGCAGATTCGCACTTCTTTGCAATTTTAGAATGTGAGCGAGTTGTGTGACCGGCTGGTGTGGGACGAGGACGCTTTTGATGGTCGGGCAATTTCGTCAGCCATCAAGCTCTACTTGGCCACTATGCCTGTCAGTCTTTTGAATCCCCATATGTTTGCCTCATTTGTGGCGTCGAGGGCGATGGGGAGAGCATCGAAGAGAGGTGGCCGTTCTCTGCGGACACCAGCGGGCCTGGCTAGCGCACTATGCCAATTGCGAACAGCCCTCGTGAAGACCTTTGGCTGTCCCGGCAATTCGATGTCTGAGGACCGCGAGAGGGGGTGGCGCCTCGCAACGCTGGACTATGTCATGCGCAATTTCAGGGAGGTGGTGGCCCTTCAGGCCACTAACCGCATGTCGCCTCGCGCGCTGGCATTGTGCCTCGCGCCCTCCCTTTTCGGATCCACGGAGAATGCGGAGACCAACAGTCAGGTATGCATTACACAACAGCTGCTCCCTTTCATGTCTTTCCATGCAATCGCCGCATTCTTTAGTGGTCATTACCTGCTGCTTATGCTATTTCATGTCTGCCACCGTTAATAGGTGCTGGAGCTGCTAATTGAGCACTGGCCCTGGCTGTCAGAGTGTCTGCACCGGGGCAGCCAGCTGGTGTCCGCAGACCGTCTAGGCGAACCCGTAGCCGACGCCTGTCTCTATGCTTGTCGGTAAGTCTCATAATGCCCACATCCCTCCTTGCCATTATTTCGACTTCATATATCCTGACATTCACGCTTAGTAGTAGACTTGCTTAGTTTCTTACTGTGCACTCATTTGCATATAAATTCATGCGAACATTTTAGCCATGCTATAGTTCTTGAGGTTTTTGTCGCTGGCGACCTAGTTGTCACACTGAGGACTGCAGTACGGCCTCCATGACAGCACAGCTATTTTTCATTCCAGTCCAAAGCATAGGCTACACCAATTAAACTAGAGTGCTGTTCAATCTAAGGGGTACTCAACCATGGCTCACTGAACACTCTCTTTCCCTTCTAGATACCAGCGTCATTGCTTCCTGCAGTCCCTGTGCCTACCACTGACCCTCCCACCGTCGCCGCCGCCGCCGCCGCCGCCGTCTTCAGTCGACGGAGTTCGTACTGCCGCGTGTACATAGCTTTCGTTGGAATTATCCTTCGCTCCCCCCTTCCCACCCACATTTATTTGCAGTATTATAAGCATGCTTCTCCCTCGTCCCCATTTTTGAACTTTTGGACAGTATTATTCCTTGTTCTCATGTTTATTCCGTTTCCCACAAAAGACGCTGTTTCGCTGACGTGCACATTCCCTCTTTTTCGCCCGCGCTAACCCGCAGTGTTCCGCCCCCTTACCACAGCCGTAATTCACTTTCTTGTTATTGGAATGATTATCCTTGGTCCCGACTTTTGTCATTTTCCTTGTTCTCATGTCCATTCCATTTTACATAATAAACCCTGTTCTTCTAACCTGCACTCGCTCTCTCTACCTCTCATCTAGATTATTTGGGCAAGGTCTGATGTTGGTGCTGGGTCTGGTCATAGTCTGAAGGCAGGAAGTTGATATCAACAGGTGTATTTACATAGGGGGAATTTTGCTTAGCGAGGCTTACGTGACACTGATAGAGACGAGTGTGCGAGTCGATGGTTAGTGCTGTCACGACGACTGACTACAGTAGCCTCTCAAATAAATAACTGCTTCCAGTAGTTCGATTCTGGCAAGGATGACTCCAGTGGTTTACATTCACCGCAGTCTGTTATTATTACTATCATCTTTGCAGCGTCGATTTGCCTATAAATCTCAAATTTGGAAATCCTCTGTTGATTGGAAGCGACTACTTCAGGTGATGCGATTGAAGATCACGGCCTCCAGTAGTTCAGCCACGTATTCCACTGTGAGCAACAGGAATAACCACATGCGGAGAAGGGAAATATTATAGAAGTGTATCCGAAGATATTCCGACGGGGATGGTGGATGTGGTACTTGTACATGCACTCGATACGACTGCCATCATGCCTGATCTAGCTGGCCTCGATGATGCCCCGAACTGTACTTCTCCAAGCGTGATGATCCGAGGTAGCAGGACTGGACAGTTCAACCAGTTCTCTTCGCCAAAGACGGAGACCGAATAAATAAGGTCCAAGTACCACCTCCATGCCTTGACGGAGTGTGTCGAGCTAGATTTTTGAGCTGACCCCCTCTTTGACGCCTCCAATGTGGCAACGGTGCCAGGCTTTACGCGATAAGAGTGGCTAATTTTGACAATAGGTGAGTATTTTTTCGTCCAAACCTGTTTGGTTAGTTGAAGAAAACGTTTTTAGACAGACGTGAGCACATCAACTGGAGAAAAAATGGAACACTGCAAAAAGAAGTGAGGTGCCTAAAGCGAAGGCCATTTGTCTTGTCTGATGCAAAAGCAATGAATAATTTTGGAACTGAATTTCATGCAAAGACAACTCGTTCTAATTCTTGACTCAATGAAATATTACCAATGATTTGGATTTAGATTAAGGAATGGATTACTTCTGAAAGTCTGTGAAGGAAGGAACACTTCCCTCATTTCCATGAAGATTCTCATGCAGAAATTCAATAGTGCCTCAAATAGTCCTTAAATTTCCTTCAGGATGGAGTCCTTAAAGTTTCTTGTTCGGGAAGCGGTTGCACCGTATATGCTTCAGCAATATGCGGCTGGAATATTTCCGAAGCTTTTTTTAGCTAAGGCGGTCTAATCCAAATCGCTGACGATGTTAATCTCGTCTACGTGGACTCATATTACACAACGCTACACCGGTCCCCCGTCGTGGAGCTTCCGTTTCAGTCTGCTTCAATGAGCCTTAATCACACTAGTGTGTTTTCATGTGGTCGGATCCTTAAAGTGCTTGGTATGGTAGATTGTAAAGTTCTTAATGCCGATGCTTGTGGCATCCACGTTGGCATTTTGCCACATTAGGCAACAGTCCCTTTTACGCCAGTATTCTACAGTATTTGGCAGCATTAAAAAATGACTACTTAAGTAGCGTGCATTTTTCACACTTATTTTCGATAGTCCTGCAAATTCAAATACGCGTTATAGAAACCATAAAAATAGTCTTTCTTTACGTCGGTTGATAGAAAATAACATCATTCATATATTTTATAAATGAAGAAGGAGTATAATTAGGTTTCAAAAAGGTTTTCTAATTGCCGAATATTTTGGAGCATGGTCATTCGTTGCACTAGCGCTTGGTGATACTCATGTGCTAAAGAGTACGGTTTTGTGCAGGAGTTTAAAAAACAGTGTATTCAAAAGCCGATATCCTGCCGAGTCCGAAATATTATAAGATTATGCCGCAAGATAATCAATATTAGAACCGCGCCTAAGTAATCCTTCTTAATCGAAATCGCATTTCAGAATTTTAGCCAACATTTCATGAGATCGGTCACGCCCTGTACGTGTTGTGCAACACTGCTTCTTTTCTCTGCGACGCTGACAATCATGTGTCAGGCAAACAGAGAAACTAGAATACCATCTGAGCGGGATTCCTGCATTAAGAAGGAGGGGTTGCAGCCTGTCTCTTCATCTGGATCACAGAACCAACTTATCCCATCACTAGTCATTCTTCCAAGCCACGATTTTTAGCTTGATTCAAATGTTTCAAATCGTGTAGCCTTCTTTAAAGTCTTGAATATGCAGTGAGTGCTGTGATATCGGCATTTTCACGTTGGAATTCACTCTTAGTTCATTCTTCCAGAAATCAGACAACACTCCGGACCGATCAGTCATTTGATGGGGATATGGGACAGGGATGCTGGACAGTGCTGAAACAGTCCGTCTCCGTGTGCCTCGCACGGTTAGAGTGGCTGATTTTGTCAATGAGCGAGTATTTTTTCATCCAAACCTGTTTGGTTAGTTGAAGAAAACATTTTTAGACAGGCATGAGCAAATCAAATGGAGAAAAAAATGGAACACTGCAAAATGCAGGAAAGTGCCTAAAGTGAAGGCCATTTTTCTTGTGTGATGCAAAAGCAATGAATAATTTTGCAACTGAATTTCATGCAAATACAACTCGTTCTAACACTTGACTCCATGAACTATTGCCAATGCTTTGGATATAGGTTAAGGAAGGGATTACTTCTGAAAGGCTTTGAAAGAGTGAACACTCCCCTCATTTTAATGAACATTCTCTTGCAGAATTTGGATAGTGCGTTAAATGGTCGTTAAATTTCCTTCAGGATATAGTCCTTAAAGTTCCCTGTTCGGGAATCTATTGCACCGGATATACTTCAGCAATATTCGGCAAGAATATTTTCCAAGCTTTTTTTAAGCTAAGTCTCTCTAAGCAAAACCATTTACGATGTTTATTCTCGTCTACGGGGACCCATACTGCACAACACAACACCGGTCCTCCTTCGTGGAGCTACCGTTTTAGTCTGCTTCAATAGGCCATGATCATACTCTTGTGTTTTTCTGTGGTCGGATTCTTAAAGATTTTGTTATGGTTGATTTAAAGTGCTTAATGCCGATGAGTTTGACATCCAACTAGGCATTTTGTCACATTATGTAGCAGTACCTTTTTCGACAGTATTTTACCATTTTCCATAATTTCCGGTTATTTTTTCCGCTCTCCTCAGAAAATCAAACTGCGATTGTTTGACCAAGAGCTGATGCTCTGTATTTTGGGAGGAAAAAAAATTAGGAATTTTCAACTGCTTTGTTTGGTAACTCATTTGCTTATTGTACAAAGCTTTGCGTTTATATATTTTTCATCAATGTTTTATATCATATTGATAAGTTGTCTTATCACACAGATACAAACGGGCGTTCATACTTACGCTATTTAACTTTTTTCTTGTCCAGTATCATTTGTGTGTTTCCTGATGTCTGATCCTTGAAATGCATAGTATTACTGGCAGTAAAGTGTTCAATTCTGACGTACTTGGCGTCCACACTGACATTTTTCCACATTAGGTAGCACTTCTCTTGCTTGGCAGTATTCTTTCACCTTCGAGTTTACAGTTTCATTTATTTCTTTCGTTTTCATCATAGAACCAACCTGTGGTTGTCGGACCTTTCTGCGATCTGGAGACAATGATCTATATTTTGGAAAGAGAAAAAAAAGCACTACTTCTTGCACTGTTCATCCATGTGTTTCGTTGTTGTACATAATCATTACGCATATATTTTTATTTTCCAGGATTTTTTATGTTGCGTTAGTAAGTTACCTCATTAAACTGATATAGACATGCGATCTTACCCGCCTTATTTAACATTTTTCGAATTCATTAGGGTGTGTCCCCATAGTTCCTCTAATATCCATGTAAATCACGTTGCCTTGCAGTAAATTTTCATAGCTGCACTATTTGGCACCTACTATTTTTCTTTCCGGTTGGTTTCTCGTTCTACTGGTTCCAAAACAGTTTCATATTTGTAGGTGGCGGTTTATTCAAATGCCTTTATTTAGTGTGAGTCGCTCTTTGTTTATTTTGTAGTTATAGGAAATTGATTCCGTCACTATATCAAGGCGCAGAAGAATTTTAACGGAAACCTATTCATTTTCTATTGAATTCACCTCTTTCTCCTTCCACGGTGCTGCCCCATCAATAAAACATCTGGGGTTACACAACCCACCGTTGTCACGCTTCACTAACCCAACGGTTGTTATTGTTGTGTTTGATCTCACTAACTGAATTCACTGCAACCGTAACCATCGAGCAAATTTCGTCAGCATGTGGAATGCGTGGGAAACGTGGATTCTCGTAAACTAGCAAATTGGGATTCGCGGTCTGACATCAGTTAATTTGGTAAATACGATGGCAATCAACAAAGATCTACAGCATGTGACTTAAATCATGAGATAGGCGTTTTTCAGGAAAACTGCGCACTAACTTGGAAAACTGCTTAGGTGTAACGAGCATGGCATTCCATAAGGAATAAAATGCTGGAAGATGAATGAAATCGCTCAGATATTCGCGGCTGGTGATTGAATTTAAATTTTATAAATACAACATTTTTGTCCATGCAGACGTCAAATTAAATAAAGTAGCGGCAACAGGGCAGCACTAAAGGAACTCGTTAAATAGTCACAAACAGAATATTACTCAATAGTTAATTCAAGAGGCACTGTGAGAACCAATCAACTGGCTGATGTCTAAGAAGGTATT